ACTCATCTTAAAGTGGCCAAGTTTGGACAACACTGGATTAATCATTGATACCCCAGACAAAGGAGTTTGAGCCTACCAACACATCATGGTGTCCACCTGTATTAAAAATAGGCAGGTGGAATATCTGAGCTGCTGTTCCTTGGGATGCTCTTCCCACATCCATCTCTGTGCTCAGGCACATCAACAGGGCTGCCACTTCTCCAAATGGATTGAAATGAGTGCCCACGTGTTGGGTAGTTCCTGTTTTGATGGAGAAGCTGTCTGGGGACTTCGATCCATCTACCAAGGATTTACTGGAATATATTGTACAAGGGCAAGTATGTGCTCTCTTCTGTTCATTTCCTCCCTCTGAGTCATAGCATTCCACTACCTTGGCTTCCAACCCTCATTTTAGTACTCACTTGCATGCACTTTCCCGCCTGTATACTGTCCCTCAGGTCTTCCTCCAGCATCCTGTTTCTCTGTAAAGAAGGAAAGAAAAAAAGTGAAAGGAGCACTGGATTCCCCACTGGAATGAAGATCAGACTCACAGCAGGAGGAAGAGGAAGGCTGGAGAAAGGTCTTACTGTGTTGAAGACCTGAGCGGTGGAGACCCAGGTGCCTTGCTCCATGATCTGGACTAAGGAATTCCCCTGAGGATCCTGAGTCTCCAGAAACAGCGAGTATTGCTCCCTTGGCTGCTGGCTTCCTGTGACATCTAGGAGCAAAGCAAAGCAGCATAAAAGATTAATCACAGCCAAAGATCTAGTGGATTTAGACTCAGTTCTTGTATTCAGAGGGTATTTTAAACCAGAGGGTATTTTTCCCAAGCATCTTTGGAACCAGGAAAGCTAAATTCTGAGAAAGCTTCACATGGCAGCCCCTCTCTTTTTGAAATTAAAACACCGCTTGATTGCAAGTGTCCCAAGTGATGGGTTCATGCATTGTACAAAAATAGTCCTGGAATTGTAGCCATTTGTGGCAAGCCCGTCCCCCTTCCCATATGCCAGGGAAAGGCTGACTTCTCCGTGTGGATAAAATGAGGGGACAGAGCAATAGCGTCAATGCCGTTCACAGAGTTGACAGCGGGCAGAGGCCCCTTCAAGTGGCTGGGAGAGGATATCTTGCTTCCTGTTATGTTCTTGATCTCCACTGGGCCCTTTGCATGGGGCAAATCGATGGCTGAATGGAAAGGAACAGCAGAGGTGGGAAGAGAGCTGGGTCCAGATCCAAATCTTAGCAAAGGGTAAACAGTAGGGCTTGAGTCTGCTTTCCCCTGCTCTCCCCCCCGTCCGTTTCATTTGGCACCATATTTTTCAGATGATTGAATCTTTAGAATAAGGGCAGTCTCGTGGCTGATTTTCATATGCTGCTCCTGGAACCACTTTTGGAGCTAAAACAAATGGTGCAGAATAAATAGAACAGCTCATTGTGGGAACGACATGGCACAAATCTACTTACCATCCTGCAGGCAGCTTTGGAGGTAGGCACTTCCATTGCTTCTCACCTGCACAGAGAGGGAAAACCTGAATTGCTGGAATTTGGGGAGATCAACGAGAATCACGTAATTTCTATTTAGTAATAAAGTGGGTTGCTTTGCTGCCCAGGTTTGACCTTCCAATCTGGAAAGATACTTATAGAAACACAATGCAGAAACAAATTGGAAAAAATGCGTCTCTGGATTTCATTTTCCTACAGCAGTCAATAAAACAAGGGAGACCTTAATTTGGGGTTGAATTATACTCTCTTTGTCTTATTTGTATAGGATGTGGAGCATGTAATTATGCAGAAAATTTGTTGCATGCTGGATAGAGTCATAAAGCAGACTCTCAAGTGGTGATAGTTATTTTATGTGACTTGGGCATTTGCTCAGGAAACAATATGCAGTTTCACCTTTCACCTCTATAGACAGAGATACAGACACTTAAGACCGATTGGAGCCTCTCAAATTGATTTGGGGCCAGTTTAGAAGGCCAAATTTCCTACTGTCTGTCATTGGAAATCAACAAATCTATCAAATCCTTTTTTCTGCTTTGATATAACCAGATGCAAGTTTTAGATATATCACCCTCTTGTTGTCCAGCTAGGTGGTACAATCCAGCCTGCTGTCAAAAAGGGAAACAGGATTCAGTATGGTTAGTGCTTGGATGGGAGACCACCAGGAGATTAAAGGGCTGTAGCTAAAAGAAGGCAGCAGCAAATTGCTATTGTGTTCCTGCCAAGGAAATTACATGGACGTATTCATGAAGTTAGCAGCTTGAGCCCAAACTGAGAAACACTTTACCTTACTTTAAACCCTTGTTAGAGGATGAACTGTAAATACTGTAATAAATGTCAGATATACATCCAAAAAAATTGGATTCTTAATGAAATTGAATTAAATCTAGGGCAATGGGGAAAATGTGCCTATTTTCACATTAATAGTTCAGCTTTTCATGTGCAAGAATAGCCTTTAAGGCTGGGAAACACTGCTCTAACCCTGTCAGCCTTTGCCTCTGAGCATAAAAATCCATCACAACGCCCTGATGCACATTTGCTAGCAAATGTTTGTTGCATTAACCACTGATCTTTGTAAGGATACCTGTGATGGAATGGAATTATGAAGGTCAGGCTCAGGGAGATAAACATTTTCTTAGCTCACCAGAGGAACGTGGGAGATACAAGAGGATGAGACTGGCACCTCCCTGAGGAATTCACAATGTTGTGGCTG